AAAGAGGGATTCTTCCCACTGTGAGCAGTGTGCTTATTGCGCTGTAGCTTGGTTCCTCTCCAAGGAGACAGATTTTTGTAAATAGAAGGAAAATCAGTAGCTTGGGTTTTTTGGTTTTGTCACATCCTTTTTTAGAGGTAGAATTCTTATTTGTAGCAAACTTTTGTCCTGTGTGCTTTACTGTATAAAACAAACAGTACTTTTTCCCAGTTGCCATTGCCAGCTCAGTGCTATCCAGGACACATTATTACAACCAGTTGTTTCACTGTGGAAGAATATGCAGAGTTGCATAAAAGGTGGCTTGTGTTTTTGTTTGGGGTTTTTGTTTTTTTTAAATGGTACTACATTCATGTCTGAGGTAGTAGTTTTAAGTATTTTGGTCTCTTGTCAGCAAAAGGGAAGTGTTCACATGAATCTCAAACACATGTTTGCTGTCAGGTACAAATGCGCATAAACATGTAATAGCGTGACCAGCGTCCTAGAAAACTTTCTCCATGCCCTCCCCCATTTAAGGACCAGATGAACTTTTTTTTTAAAAAAGTGGCTTATTTTAGCTCCCAACCACTTATGTGGCAGCATCTATCATTCCCAAAACAATCATCGTACAAATCTGGATCTCAGGGATGGTGTAGACGGAGCTTGGTCCTGCCTTGAGGGCGGGGGGCTGGACTCGATGACCTCTTGAGGTCCCTTCCAGTCCTATTATTCTATGATTCTATGATTCTATGAAAGTTGCCTCATAGGACTGGTTTTTGTTGGGACCAGATTGCCAGGAATATCAAGTGGGAATCTGGTCCCAACAGCGGGATGAGACTCTGATGGAAATAATTTAGGAACAGGGTAAGCCAGGAATGGGCAAAATACGGTCTGCTGACGGGATGTATCCCTCCAGACGCTTGGATTTGGCCTGCCACAGCCCAGTGGGACTCTCAGGCAGACTCCCTGGCTGCTGTGGCCCGCATGTGTCTCTGTGACACGTGCCCACTAGACAGAGGGAAGCAGCCCCCTCCCCAGGCAAAACACCAGCATCCCCTGAAAGAGGGAAGCAGCGGGTCTCCACATGCTGCAACTCCCATTGGCTAGTTTGTGGCTAATAGGAAGCTGCGTGGACCATGCGGGGGCCAGGGCCTGGAGACACCCTCCCGCCAAGGGTTATGCCACACCAAATTGCGCATACTGGCCCCAGCAGCTGGCTGCTTTGACCACCATGTGTGGCTGTGGCAGCCCAGAGAGTTTCCCTGAAGCACCCAGAGCTCCCTCTGCACTCCAACTCAGCCCCAGACCGCGCACGCCCTCTATTAATATAGTAGAAAAGTGTGGCTCCTGAAATTCTTGGAATGTGCCCCCCATTGAATATTATTGCCCAGCCCTGTGATAGACCCATGAGATGGGCCAACTAAGCCCAGGCTGGATAATGAAGAAATAAGCCACCGGCTTGTGACGTAAAAATAAATGAAGCAAAAAGAGCTTTCCATTGCATGAATTAGCTAAATAAAATTAAATGTCGTCTTGCAGTCACGGCTTCAAGTTCAAAAGCCAGAGCTGAGATCCTAGAGTAATCCAGAATAGGATAAGAGAGAGACCAATGCCCACACTTCTTACACTCACTCTGCAACCAGCAGCCTTTGCTAATTGCAATTCCAACAAATAGCTCAAGATCAAAGGCTATCAGATCCTTATTTTTAAAAACATGTCCACGCTTTCTAAATACTAGGATCCTGCTCATTTTCTAGTTTTATAAATTTTAAGGCCAGAATAGACCATTGTGATCACCTACTCTAGCCTGCTGTGTAACACGTGCTACAGAAATTCCCCAAATTTATTCTTAGGTTTTAAAATCAAGATTTTAAACATTATCTGATGGAAAATCCACGATGGTCCTTGGCAAATTACTCCAGATTCTGGATACAGCCAAAAAGATACTTCATAAACCAGACAGGACTGCACAATGTACAGAGTGGTTTAAGAGTTAAGGGTGATTGGGTGCTTCAGTTCTGCCTTTCGGTGCTTTATTTTATTTTAACATAATCTTGACCTAGCATTTTCTAGTGTGCTCACATTTTTTGTTTGTAAAGTCATAATGTTTTAATTAGGTTTAGGTTCAGTAAGGTGCTGGTATCTCACTGCTTCAACTCAAGATTCATGTTTTAATTCATTTTTTTTTCTTGTAAGCTCTATGAGAATTTTCTGTGGCATCTTGGCACTCCACCATTTCTGAGTTTGGAAGAATGTGCTAAATGTATTGGACTAGGAATGTAAAGGGATTACTGCTTAACCAGAGGCCCAGCTGAGCTCGAGCAGCCCATACCCTGGTGGGCATGACCAGGCTGGAGCAGCCCCCTGCCCATGATGGGCCACACGCGGGAGGCTGCTCCAGCCCGTCCCACTGCATTGTGCCACAGGTGGCTGCTCCAAGCTGTGCATAACTTTTTAAACGGTTGATATCCCTGTGTTGGACCTATCAATTCACATTGCACGTCCCTTGATTTGGCACTTTTGAGTCTTGTATCTGAGTGCATCTAGCAGGCTTAGGGTTCTGGCAGAGATTGTAAAGTTTGTATGGGGAAACTCCATTCACTTCGCTGGTGCAGCCTGAAAAATCCAGTCCCTAGGATCAGGGTTTAGCACTGCTTTAAGCCAGGTGCTTATGTGCGGCGTTTTCAAGAGGAGCAAAATGTATATTAGCTTGTAAAGAAGAGTTTACAACTCTACCTCCAGTTTCATGAAAGTGTATGTTAGGCTTTGTGTGTGTATGCGTACACCATTCAGAACTTGCTTTTTAAAAACTGAGAACTCCATTAAGTAGATACAGCCATTCCTGAGGCCTTTATACTTACAGGGGGGTTGTGAGCAATCATTGGTCAATGATATGGTTCGAGCACTAATACTGAAATCAGCTACTGAAAGCCATAGTATCAAATTGTTCTTATACGAGTTTGTGTATGTTCTCCGGAATAATTTTAGTTAGTAAATTATTACTCCAGAGCAGTGACAAGTATTTATGGATAAGATTACAAATCCATTTTCAATCCCCATAGAATCAAATTGTTCTTATACTAGTTTGTGTATGTTCTCCGGAATAATTGTGGTTAGTGAATTATTACTCCAGAGCAGTGACAAATATTTATGGATAAGACTTACAAATCCATTTTCAATCTGATGCGAGCGTTACAACATGAGAACAGCCACTGGGTCAGACCAAAGGCCCATCCAGCCGCCCGGCCCTTAGGCCGATTCCACCCATTGGGTCGAATCGGGCCCCGCACCCCTGCACCCGGAAGTGCTGGCGAGTTAAGAGCTGGGGCCCTGCTCCAGCGCTATGTGGAGCTGGGTCTCTCTCTGGCTCTGCCTGGAGCGGGCAGCCCTGGACATCCCTGCCGCGCGTGGCTCCTCCTCGCCACCTGCCGCCTGTGCGCAGCATTGCACGTGGGCGGGGAGGACGTGACGTCACGCCCCAGGGTTTTGAAACCCACGCAAGGCACATGGCGGAGCCCCAGCGTGGCCCCGCCACGGGGAAGGAGAAGGCGGGGAGGCACCAAGGGCCAGGGGTGCAGGAGAGACATAGCAGGGCAAGTGCAGACCATGAGGGAAAGGGCAGGAGGGGCAGTGTCAGTGGGAGGGCGCCAGGAGGATGCTGGGAGAGGAGAGGGGAAGGGCATTGGGGGCTGGAGGGGGAGGTGCTGGGAGAAGGCTTGAAAGAAGGGGGGGGCATGAGGAAGGCCAGGATGGAGCAAATTGCGA